ACAATTCCTGGTCTTTCTCTTGAGCCAGTCCAATTCCCACCACCACAACCCAGTCCCTAGTCAGGCAGCCATACCTGGAGAAAAGAGTGCCACAAGACTACTTCATCACAGACCTGACCAGCAACTGAAACAAAAACACTTATTTTCATCCTATTTCCTGGAGAAGTCAGAGGGTAGAGGTTGGCATCCTCATGCAGCAGAAGGTTCTTTGAGACATAAGGAGCTGGGGCAAACCATAACACCAGAGCAAGCACTGCAAACATTATTTCCTCTGCCTCCTCTAAGTCCAGCCTGTAACTGTGTCTGCTTGTGCTTCTAACTTCCAGTTATAAGCTAGCCACAATTCTTCAGCTTTGGACTTGGGACATTACAACTTCACAAACAACATACTCGTAAAATGAGCTGTTGACAGAGAACCTCCCTACCCTAACTCAGCACTGGTTTTCTCATTCCCTTTTCTCTACTCTGGTTTTCTTGTCAAAGTACTCTATGCAGTTAAGGGAAGGAAAAAAAAATCAACACAAAAAAAACCCACTCAAAACAAACACAACCACATGCATAAAAAAATCCCTCAAAAATCCCCAGAAGACAAGATGATGATCCATTTCCCCAAATAGCTGAGTCTCATTTGCATCTGCAAGACAAAAGAGCCCCGGGGCAGTATTTGTAAAGCCCAAGCACCAGACCCATACAACGGGAACACCTCATGCATCTCAACTAGAGCTCCAAGGTCAGGTTTGCACTCCCACTGCGGCCAGACACCAGCACCACAGACCAGGATTACTGTCAGCACCCTTTCCTTGCTCCTGTGGCTGAGGAATGGATATCAGGCTCAGTAAGGATTGGGCAGGCACCTACCTCCCTCTTTCTCCTCGTGGATACCTTTGAGAAGTGCATTGTTTTGGAGCACCTCACTTCAAAGCAGTTTTGTTTTTCTTTTCTTTTTTTTTTAAAAAAAAAAACAAAATGGAATTAAGGATGAGTTACAGCCTTAACCTAGAAGTCATTCAGACTCATGCTAGGAGTGACTGACAGGCAATTGATACCACAACTGCTAAGTGGCCTCTACAGAGCTGGTCTCTGTCCAGTCCCTAAAGAAACAGGTGCTCCACAACCAAAGGCAGCAGCAGCACTCTGCGAATCACTACCCAAAGGCAGACCTGTCAGGTTCAACCACGTTGGTCACCAAGTGATCCTCTGAATAGCATTTTAGTCTGAAATGAGCCCCGTACATGGCACAGTTCAGGTACCCTGTGCGAGGCTTTTGTTTCAAGTCCAACAGACACTTCTGATGTTTGTTTTCAACTTACAAATAATTAAAACCACTCCTCAGCATAAAAATATAGCCTTCATTGTTTTCAACACATTTAGTCCTCAGAATTTTCTTTTCCATTAAATGGCAGATTTGTTTAGGTTCCAGGGAAGACTGTTCTAATGAGCATCGGTCCAAAGAGACATACCCAAGCTTTTATACCCTCCATTTTACATGGATTAGAGCGAGACAGCAAAGACTTTAAGAACAGTCTTGCAGGCAGCTTTTGAATGAGCACAACAGCATCCTAACCTTGGCTTCAGAACCTGCACTCTTCAGTGCCAATCCAGGCCAAGCAGCACTGCTCACCCACAGCTCAGCAGGGCCGGCAGAGCACAGGCTGAGACAAAACAGATTAAGATGAAGACTTTCAGCTCTTACACTCATCGCCACTCAGACAAAAGTCCTTTTGCACAGGCTTCTTTTTCTGCTTGCCTTACAGGCATAATGCACAAACTTCAACCAGCTCCACTACCAACATCTCTAAAAAAAACAAACAAAACCAAAACAAAACAGGTTAAATTAAGTCAGTTTCTTTCAACTCCACTCCCTCCTCCCTGCCAACCCTGTGATCTCATTCAGGGAATAATGCAGTGGTCAAAATGTTCCACAAAAAACCAGTGCCACACAATCCACTTGAACCTAGCTTCCACCTATAATCTGAAGAAAAAAAACAAAAGAAAATAAAAAGTCATCACACACAAACAATTTTCACATGTTTAATGTAATGGCACCCTAATTAAGTTTACAGTACTTTCATCTCCACTAGATACTGTGTTTCAAAAGTAGAATGGGCAAAAACAAACATGAAAGAATACCTTTTTTTTTCCCCCGTAAAGTTTTAGAAACTCAACCACCTGGAGCTACATATGCATAAATGCCTTTCATAAAAATTGTTAAGAATTGTATTTTTCACCCTCACACAACAAAAACTAGGTTTTGCTAGGTCTTTTCACAAGATATGTAGATCAAAGACGTCACTAAGAAATTTCTGCAGTCAGGGGTGTCATAAGGTTATATCAGGATTTCCGCTGGAGAGCCTGCCATGAAGCAAACACTATAAATAGGAAAAGAATGTGCAAGAGCTCCGAGGAAGCGAGAAGCACATGTTTTGCAAGCTCGTGTTCCAATAGCCATGGAACTGAAGATTGCTGGCTGAGAAAAAAGCCTGCTTGAAATCCTTCAGCTGAAGTCTATTCGAATCATACCTATCACAGAAAGTCACATGTGTAGCTGCACACCAGCCTCTGCGATACTACTGACAAGCTCTCCTCCAGATTTTACCTCGGGTCAACAACCAAAATAAGCTGAAAGGTTATTTGGAGAAGCCATAAAAATAACAGGAAGTATTTGTTGGTTTTCTCATGACAAGTAATCAAGAAAACTCATACAGAAGCAGATAGACTAGGCAGAAGTCTTTTTAAGATAGTATCAGCTAAAAAACTAGCAACTCTGAAGTTTTATTATCAGTTTCATATTTTGACTTTTAAAGAGCTAAGTACACATTTTATGAATAAAGTTTAGAGCATCCTTAAAGAGGAGAAGCTAACCTACGAGTACCCAAGGACACTTGATTTTCACCTAAGAGCTTAGCCTGAAAGATGGTGAACTCACACAGTCACTTAATAGACTTAAATTTGGGTGGTGGGGAGAGGTGGCTGGGCTTCCTACAATTTACAGCGCTCATCAGAGCTTTTTATTCCTCTAATTCAGGACTGGGGACGGACACAAGTTCATAACTGGAGGAAACTAATTTTGGAGAAGTCCATGGTTTGGTTTTAGTAGGAACTTAAAATACTCATTCTCTGACACTTAAGAACTGCTCATTCTGCTGTTTCCAAATTTTTTTTTTTAAATTAACACTCACTAGTCTAATAAAGAAATTAACACTTTGGCTCTGCATCCTGCTTCTAGACTTGCCTTCCACTTCTAAGTTCGAGCAGCCATCATCCCTAAAGTACATTCACTAATACTCTCTTGTATTTAATACTAAAGGCCACATCCATCCAAAGTCTTATCGGTGTGAACAATTCTCAAACGCATACAGAAATGGCCTCTAAAAAAAATTTGGCATTTGTGACAAAGTAATTCAGAATTTTAAGTTTTTCACAGTTTGTTCACTTGGATGCTCGTATGATATGAATCGGGGAGATACTCTGATTCATGCACAGGACTGATGGAGTATATTAAAGAAAAAAAAGGCAGAAATCTACATGAATTACAACTTTTGGTTGAATCATATATTAATCATACAGAAGAAACTAAAAATATCTACTTACACGGAACAATGGTGGAAATAAGACACACACACACACTCCAGCACTTTTCCTACTATAAGAATATTGCACATTCCGATAAAGTTGCACAAATTACTGGCTTTTTATAAAGACCATATATGAGGTATTAGTCTATTAATAAATAAACAACATGGAATAGGAAAAGCACTTAAAATAAAGCAACAATCCATTCCAAGTATTTAGTGAATGAAAACTGAACAAGCAATAATATGTACCCTTGAAGGGAAGGTTAAAGTTACTTAGCAAATAGGCAGCTTTCAAGAAGCAAAGGGTTAAATCTCTTTTGATGAAGATTTTAAGAACTCAAAGCCTATTTAGAACACTGCTGTTTAAAACGCTCATTTGCTCATGCAATCAATCTGAAAGGTAAATTCTTATCTCACAATTCTAAAGGGTCAGCAATATGTGGTTGACAGTAATCTCATTAAGCGGAACCAATTAAATATACTAAACCTTAAGAAATAAGACAGAACTTTTGGATTGACATCAGTTAAACTATTCAGGGGTTTTACTGTGGGGCTGTACTGTCCTTATCAGCAGATTCCAGCACCATAAGGCACTAAATTAATACAACTGTAATTTTCAGTTTTACCCTGTGTTTACTCTAAGAATTTACCTTTCAAATCGCAATGCTGAATTACAGGTAATAAATCTGTCAATCTAAACACAATCTACCTATTTTTTATTTAGAACTTTTAGCTATCTGTAGGCAAGCTTATCTTGTATAAGTTCACAAGAACACAGAGGAGTATTTGCATTCAATAAATTGAGCTATGGAAACTACATTGCACACATGGTAATATAATAAGCATAAAATAGAAGTGTTTTCGGTATGCTCTTCCAAACCCTGTTAAAGAGTTATTTGTATTTCGGAGGGGGAAGAAAAAGACCTGGTGTTCACACAAGCTTACACACATGAATATCCCTTAAATAAGTCAAGGGTTATTCAAACTCTAAGATCTTTCCAGGCCAATGAAAGGCTATTTGGAAATAAAAGTAATCCCTACACCACTCTCCTAGGTGAAGCACTTAACATATTTCCTCTGGTTATCTTCCAACTTTAAAAAGTGTTTTACTATCAATATATTTGCAATGCTGGACAGAGTAACAAAGACCCAGGTAAATAATATTTCCGCTGCTAGTGCATGTAAATTACCTAATTTGCACAGTAAGTCCATATCAGGTAAAAACTGCAAGTGAAAATGTGGAAAGACATGATAAGCAGCACTTCAAAGTTAAAGTATCTCCTCTGTCGCAATCCATGCACCAGTAACTCAAATAGTCCTCAATTGGCATACAAAAAAATTAGATTGTTTCTGAAATCAAAAATATGTATCTTTTGTTGCAGTTCAACTTTATGGAAACTGTTTACTAAACTGAAAGACATATAATTTCTTCTGTCACAGGAGATTTCTCTCCCATTCTGCTACTGAGACATCTACTTCCCAAATGCATGTTACTTCTATTCTGAAGATTAGTTCATCTACAATTTCTTTATAGCAGTTCAGTGTTTTTAGAACAAACAGTTCAAAGATTTTTTCCACGTTAGCACAAAACCACAAAAGATTACAAAGATGTTGAAAGAAGAAGAAAAGAGAAAGGAAACGTTACTGTCCAGAACAGTCTGTATACGTGGTAACCATGTTTCCTCGTCTCTGGGTGACAGTCCTACAGTGCTTACTGGATCCATGAAATCTGGCATCAGTTCGCACCGCATGTCGGTGTGCATTTTCAAAGTCACTAAACGAAAACATTTTTTCCATATTTTCAAACACATCATCAAAAAGTCCACCTCCAAAGGAGAACTCTTGGAAAGAACGTCTTTGCCGATTGTGAGCTTCCCGATGACTTCGGAAGTGATTTTCAAAGTGCTTTTTGGACCTTGAGTTTTGACTAAAGAGGTCAAAGTCTTTGAACAGATCGTCAAAGTTGAAATTAAATGACTGATGAAATGGGCTTCCATTATTTCCTTGTCCTCCACGACGGCCAAACTGATCATATTCTCTTCGTTTATTCTCATCTGATAATGTTTCGTATGCTATTTCCATTTAAAAAAAAAAAGTTTATTTTTTTTATATTTCCTTTTAAAAAAACAAACATGTGAAAACCATACACAAAGAATAGCTTTCTTCAGCAACCTCAACAAGTAAAATTTCAAGCAAGACTTTCATTCAACAAACAAACGCAATCAAGTTAACGTTTGTTTAACTTCTTCCAATTCAAATCAAGCTGTTTCAAAATACATTTACATATTTAAAATAGTAAATATGGCTATACTGTGAGAACAGATTATATCCTCAAATTTTTAAATTCATGTAATACAACATAGTTTAGCTAGTAATAAAGATTAGCATTTATATTTGAAAGAAAATAGCAATGACATGTGGCGATCGGAAAGACTGAAAAAAGAGAAGATGAATTAGGAGCCCTACCTAAAATGACATGCCTACTGCATTCCTATCACAGAAACACAGCGCAATGTCTGCAAAACTACTTGCCAGCCAGCAAGTAAATTCTAGCTACACTGCAGTTACAACTAAGCAAGAAGATAAACATCAAGAAGATACAGGGAATGACTTTTCCCTATTTCTAAATTCTCAGTTTTTCAGAAGTCCAAATAAACCTAGGTTCTGTGGTTAGATATACCTGAAAAGGAACAACTATAGTTGTGGACTATAGTCCACAAGTAGCTATAGCTACTGGTGTTCCAAGGCAGAAACTCTGACAAGATAAAATGCCCATTCTGATAACATTAAGTATTTTAAGAGTTTCCATTTTCGTATCTGTCAAAGGCTCCCAACTACTCCATATACTTAAGAGTTCCCAGTTCCTCCTGCAATAGATGCTAACAACCGTAGTACCTAATGAGTGTGTCCCTCCCTCGCACCGTGTTAATGACTACCTTTCTTTCAAACGAACTTTTCTGCAGACAAGGTAAAACCCCAAAATCTACCTCTAGTTGAAAGAACTACACAAATAGATGAATGTTTTAACAGAGCCTATGGAGAGCAGAAGTGGGAAGACTCGCTTTTTAAGCAAGTCTTTTTCTACACCTGACTATTCATTTCTGCTATCATTTTTAATCATAAAACACTATGAAGTGTATTCCTAGGATCACAGAATAATTCAGGTTGGAAGTGACCTCAGAAGGTCTCTACTCTAACTTCCTGCTCAAAGAAGAGTCAGTTATGAGATCGGACACCTTATTCAGGGCTCTATCTGCTTATTTCTGAAAAATAAGTCACGGCTGGTGACTGCACAACCTCTTTGAGCAACCTGCTCCAACACTCGCCTATACTCAAGGTGAAAAAGTTTTTGCTTACAACCACTCCAAACCTCTCGTACTCCCAACAGGAACCACACTGAAGCACTTTGCTAAGGTTTTTCAATAATCTCCCCAGAGTTAGTGGAAGGTTGCTGTTCAGTTTCCCTAAAACTCTAGTAACCTTGAGCTGGATCTTACTAAGCAAATCAAAAGAAAAGAATTAACCTCCTGGCGCTAATATTGTCCTACTGCCAAGTATTTTTGTGACAACAGGCATAAACCAAAAAGCCCAACAGCAACAATGCCTGAACTGTGTAAAAGGCCTGTCTGTGTGCAAGGACACAGAAACAAGTCAGGTGTTGGTGTTGAATTCTGACACCAGAGAAGTAGAATCAAGAAAAAAAACAAACGCTTTTTACCTCTTATTCAGTAAAAAGAGAATATATTTAGGTTACCACATTCACAGGTATAAGCCACGTATCAAATTATTAAGACCAAGGTTAGCATAAATTACCTTCAGCAATTTCTCTAAATTTTGCTTCTGCACCAGGACTCTTATTTTTGTCTGGGTGGTATTTCATAGCCAGCTTGTGAAATGCCTTCTTGATCTGGCGGTCAGATGCATTTTTTGGAACTCCTAGGATATCATAATAGCTCTCTGTAGCCAGTATTAGTTCAGTTATCATTAAAATGCAGAGAGCAAATGTGATGACAGATTGTGTAGTTGCCATTTCTCTGGCTCCTAGAAAGAAAAAGAAATATATTTGAGGAACAAGTTATTTCAGGTTCCACATCTTAAAAGTACAACTATAAGCTGACAGAGGAAGGCTGACACTGACAGACATCTAAGCATGCTGTTTCACATATGTCTACCTCCATTCCCCTAGTTTCATAATTACGGTATTTATAAATGAAAATACTGAGAACTCACATTTCACATGGATCACAGTCATGCTTCAGAGTTCATATTTGTTTTACCCCTGTCCTTAACTGTACATTCTCCCACAGAGCTGTCAAAGTAAATATACAATACATTTCATGATATCAAACAGTTCATGCAGGCACACCTGAATTAGCTTTGAGTTTTAGCATCATAAGCATAAGATCCTTGAGTTTTAGGATCATAAGCACAGCAGCTCTAAACTAAGTGCAGCTTGCAAAAACCCACTCAGTGCTGGAAGCCCAATTCACTCATTAGCCTGCGCAACAGTTGAGAGCCTGGAAACACAATTGGCCTAGAAACTGACTGTGAGGTGCAGGAAGACAAGACTTAAGTGTTTATTCTCAGATTCAGGTCATTTAACTGACCTAAGGAGAACACAGTAAAGAGTAAAACATTCATTTAGAGTACAGAGTTCAGTCAAGCAGGGCACATTTTCCTTCACAACAGGCCAAGCTTAGATTATTTTCATATTGGATTGTACTCTAAACATCTACGGTATCTTTGATATCAAAGAATACATTTGATGAGTATCATATAAACATTTACATATGAAACTCTCAATGTCTGAACTGAACTCAAAAATGAAATGTTCTATAAAAGACAATCAGCCTCAACACTAATTGAAAGTTGTAACTTCTTTTTCAGCAACTTCTTTGTCAAAAATCTACATTTTGAATCAAACTGATATTGGAACTCATGTGAAAAGCTGTGGCATAAATAAGTCATAAGTCCACTAGCCACATGATCTTTCATGTTTTTTATGAAGGACAGCATAAGTTCTTCCTACCAGAAGGAGAAATCAAATATTTTCCAGGAACTATGCATGTTTTCCTGAAAGCTGAATAAACTAACCTTACAATCTAAGTATCATGAGAGTTAGAATACTTTTAGACAGCATGTGACCCAAACAAATGTAGAGTTCAAAACCTTTGATTATCAGGTACATAGTATAATCAAACCTTTAATAGAAATTCCATACCCTCTAAAGAAATTAACATCCAAGCACCAAAACTGGAAAAACCCACTGTTTCTAATAGTTAAGTCAGGGGGATAAAATAAATGTTGTGAGACAAGAGCAAAAAACTTGTAAGATTAACATATCCATGCCCTCTTAAGCATTTATTTGGCTAGCAGCCTGCATGATATCAAGTGTTAAGGAGCAGCAGTTGAAACAAATTGTATTTTGATCACTGTACTTAGACAGCAAATGGATAGCTCTTTTCAATATTCTTCAGGCATGATACCAGACACGTTTTTAGTACAAGCCTTTCCAAAGCTTTTTTATATATTTTCTCTCATCAGTTCACTAACCTGAAACTTTTGCCACTTGGGCAACAAGAACTACACATACATACATCATTCCATACTTTTAGGGGTTTCTGTCCGTGCTTCATTGATACAGATGTACGTATTCATCTCACATGCGAGATTATTTCACTTCATTTCCCCATGCCTGCATCATGCCTATATAATCACCTGCCGCATTCTCTTAAAGCTAGCACCCCCCTGCTTCTACTACTGAACGCTGAAAAGAGCTAAGAGTAGTTTATATCCCTCATTAAGAATTCCTAGGCTCATGAGAGCAAGAGAACATCAAGTCACTCCTTTAAAGCTTCCTGCTCTGCCTAACCTTAATTTCTATTACTTTTTATAATGAATTCCACCTAAGTTTTCCTTTTTCTACAGTTTTACATTAGAATTTCTGTACTGCAATTCTATGCCACACTGCCCCTAGTTTCACATGGATTTCTAAAGCATATTAAAAAAACTCTGTAGTGAAGTTTCACTATTTTTAAATAGTGATTCAATGCTGGCCTTGAACAATTCAGAGAAACTCAAATAAAAGGATTACATTAAATCCAAATGAAAAATCAAATACAAATCAAACTCCAATATAAGCAGCATTTTAAACTTACAAGGCTAACACAAAGACATAGTCTTTTATTTAGAGAGTATCATCAATTATTGAATTACTTTTTAGAAAATGCCAATTTTACATTCTGTCTGCATCTTAGTGCTGCTGCTGTTAACTAAGATGTTAAATGCCTGACGTCCATCCTGCCACCCCTAATTATTTTTACAATCACTTTCAAAATAAAAGTCTCTTTTAAACACTTAATCTGCTTCTGTCTCTTCTCTCTCAGTTTCCACAATCAAAAAGGGACAGATAAATTCCACTTTCCAGGCTATGCATAGCAGTTACTTAAAACACATTCTAGAATCCCTTAAGTTCTATATACTTTTTGACATTGAACTCATGACAAAATAGCCCCTCCTAACAGTTACAAATAAGTACATTTTAACTGGGTGCATCTAGCCATAAAGTTAGAGATTTTATTAACAGAGATTAACTATTTAACTGTTGGATAAGTAGCTGTGTATCTCAGCTACATTAAGCTTGGTATAAGAATCGTCTAACATTTAACAAAAATATTGTCTAGTGTTTATCAAAGAGGTGATAATAATCGGTTCTTTACCAGTTCACCAACATATACACAATGAAGTGAAATTTAAGGATGCTGTGCCTGGAATAAAATGCGTTACACGAAGAAAATAAGGAGCTACTTCCATCCTGTAATGCAAATGCGTTAATTCCATCCCTTTTTGAAAGTAAAGCACAGATCTTGGGTAAATGCTTATATTCACAAGGTGTCACGTACTCGGAAAATCCACAGCATCACTACTGCTCTTCTTACCTGAGCTGTGGTGCACAGGAGAATTCTGATGTCACGTAACTATTTTTGCAAACGATTTATTAGCAGTAATAAAGTTACCGAAGTTTTCCGCTGGTTCTCATATCACGACTAATGCGATGAGTAAGCAAGCCTCCTACTCCACGGCCTGCAACAGGAAAGCCTGTCAAACTGCCGGCCTTGGACTCTCCTCGGCCTCTCCTATACTGACCGGAAAGCAAATCTCCAGCAGAAGGCTCCTGAATCTCGCTCTGGAGAGCAGGGAAATGCGAGTCTCGCCGGCACCACCCTCCCTGGCCAGACCCCTCGGGAACCTCACTGCTGCCCCACCACAAAGCGAGGCCGAGCCAGATCGCGGCAGATGATACCAGCGACACCAAGTGACGCCGTCACACCTGCAAGTCGGCCAGGCCAGGGAAAGACCACAGCACCCGGGCCTAGCAAGAAGCGTCTAAAGGTCAAATAAATCCACTAGACCAAGCTCCGGTGTCCTCCGTCCCCA